TATAAACATTGTGCAAAAGGTATACATATAAATCATATGACACTGCTGAAGAAAAGATAGTGCCTGGTCTGATGGTCAAGCGCCTCACTTGCAACGTCGAGGTCTGCGGTTCGAATACTTCGTATGCGTTTCTTTTGCTTTTTTTTTTCTTTTTCTTTTAAGCCTCTTTTGTTTGAAAAATAGAACGGTGTCCTCTTCCGTGACATCATAACTGACAATGAAATACTATTTAACTTCTAAAAAGTAATTACTTTAGAATAAGATAAATGAATTTTAAACCGTAACTACGAAAAAGTTCTCATCTCTAAGTGACGGGGTTTGATGGTGTTGCTCTTCTCTACTTCTTATCTCCCAGATTTGTTGTAGTAATTTGTTCACCACTTTAAATTTCGACACCGCTTACAAAAAGTCCTGTGTACGCCCCTGTTCTGAAGGAAATAATTCCATCACCTATTTTCTTTTTGGTGATTGTGCAATATTCCGTCGAGATGTTCACATCAACTTTTTATATTTTAGAAATAAGCTAACTCAAGTTGATTTTCCCACTTTGAGTTTGAGGGGTCTATTAGAATACGTGCATATATAGAGTGTACTTGAATCTTATTGTATATTCTATATGATACCTTGGGATGTTACATGTTTAATTATAAAATATTTCTTTATCTTATTAGCAGAGGTACTGATTACCTAGCATATCGTACTCGTCACAAGACTCCTAAGAAGCACCTCCCATACATTGTTTCTGAATCAAGTCAATGAGAATTCTTTTCCTATTTCACAAGTCCAAAGTTCAGCATCATGTTCCTAATATTGTGGATACTCAATGGCACATAATGAAATGATAGACATGCTCCCATTGCTGTACATAGAAGATACCAAGTGATATCATATAAACTTAACTTTCCTGGAGCTTTAGAAACTCAAAAGGCAGACTAAAGAATTGTTTTCTTCCCCTCTTCAATATTTCCCTTATCGCCCCCTTCTACCTTAATTTTATGTGCTTTGAGAATTATCTCCACCCTCTCATGATTTGTTTCCATAAAGCAGTTTCATATGAAGTTAATATGGCATTAAACCTTGAGGTCCTTAACTCCCAATTCCTCCATCTTCATATAGAAAGTGACCTGCTCTAATTATAACAATGTGGATAAATCTCTTCCTTTCCTTCTCACAGAAAATTCAGGAATTTGCAGCCTAGGGAAAAGGGGTCGGATAAATAACATAGTAAGAAAAGTCATATGAAATAAAAAAGGGAGATTTCTCATCCATTGCTGTTGCCGGCTTAGTCAAAAAGTCATGAGGTAGGTTGATAAATTAGAGAGCACTCTTTATTAGGATTATCTTTCCTTCTTCTAGTTTCCTAGTGAACCTTATCTCCAACATCTACAGAAAAGGGTTTCATTGTTTCATCTCCATGAGCGGCCCCTAGTGGTAGTCTCAAGTACGTAGCCTGAAGATCACTGACTTTTCATGTTAACACCCTTGCCATGTCCTCCACTTCCTGAATTTCTTCCATAGGAAAGATAACACACTTTCAAACGTTAATTGTCATCCCAGAGATTGCCTGAAACCATAACTACAAAACCCCTCTGATTGGGAAGTTGGTTCTTGTCTCATCACAACAGGTTTCAGGCTTAAGACATTTGTCTTCACGAATTCTATCGGTCTTTCTCTTATTTCTCATAGTGTAGGTAGTTGAGATAATTTGATACATGATTGCGGTCAGGTATCCACATTATAAATACATTTTATACACAAGTATACCATACTAATAATGAATTTTTTTTGACTTATCAAAAGAATAACAATTGCTTACATTTGAGTGATTTTTTCCCCAGTTTTACCCCCCAATAGACTGGCTGGTTGGGTCATCTTTACCTTCAAGGTTCAGTCCAGACATTATTGAAGCAGTCCTAAATGAGCTCACACCACAAAATGTCAGGTGAATTAACCTCCCTGTAGACAATTATATCTTTTTAACTTTTGTTTTTGCATATGGGATACTCGCATTACTTAGCTTATGATGATAAATAATCTAAGGCATGATGATGTTAAAGTCTAATATGTACAATATACTTTTTGACTATGTCCATCGTTTTAATCAAGTTTTTGACTTTGTCCATTGGATGACCTTGGAAGTCCAATGACTAATCCTGCTAGCCGTGGAATCAATTTTAACTGTGGTTCTTAGAAGTCAGGTTCTCATGACCTCTTTTGTAGATAATAGTTTTGCGTATAGTTCATGGACTTGGTTTGGCTGGAATCATGGCTTTGACATGACAAGAAGCCAGTACAGTTAGTAATTCATATTGGATAGGGTCATAGTTGATTTGGGTGTTTCCTATGTTGCTCGGCGTCTTTAAAAATGCCGCCGGGTGTTGGATCCTCCAAAAGTAGTGCATTTTTTGGATTATTTGACAGGCGTGTGGCCACATTTTTGGAGAGTCCGAGCAACATAGGGTATTTCTCCTTCAGGGAGCATAGAGAAAATGAAGAGACAGAAAAGATGACTGTTAAGGACAAGCAAGAAAGCCTGGTGATGCAGTTGTTTTTCCTCCTTTCTGTAGAACGAGGCACGATGGAAAATGTTGATTGGGTGAAGAGAAAAGAGACTGTCCTATTCTTACTGCTGTTGGGCTGACATGAAATGTCTGCTGTTTTCTAGTTCATAAGCTAAGCATCCCAGCAAGAGAAGAACCAAGTTACGCTCATTTAACACCCAAAAAAAAAAAGAACACTTAATATGCCATTAAATATACAATTATTGGACTTTATATTTATGAACCACTCATCTTAATGAAAATTGAGATCTTTTTGGGCTACCGATCTTTTACATCATTACATATCATAAGACCATGGTGAAACATTTCCTAGTCATACCCTTATGCATATTTCCTCTGAATCCTTTGGTGGTTATCTGCATAATAGGGATAAATAAAAATACAGAGATTGTGTGTTAGAACTTCCAGCTTAGTAAGATAGTGTGTTCAGCATGTATCATTTGCAGAAATAGTATGTCACTGAACTATGATGGTGTGATTTATCATTTCTGTGACTAAATCTTTGTGGATGAGCACCTCTTACAAGAAAGTTTTTCCAACAGAATCTTTTGGGTTTCAACAAAATTTGACGGTCATACAGATTCAATGGAGCCTTGGTATGGAACTGCATATTCAGTAGAGAAAATAACAAGCTCCATGATTGAGGTACATTCTGGGTATCTGTAAATACTGTTGCTTTTGATTTGATGAAGATTGGTATTGTAGTATTGCTCTAGCCAACATTGACTAGAATGGTGACACTGCTCTGATTGGTACAGCAATGGATGGAGAAGGCTCCTGATGGAAATTTGCATCTACCTGTACCTAATATGTTTGTTCCTACCGATTTGTCCATTAAAACTGTCTTGAACAAGGTATTACTAACAACGAAGCCTCATTTCACACGCTTTCACCGTACTAAATTCCTTAAATGTTTTGCCCTTCGGTACAGATGAGTTTTCCAGTGCTGTTAAGGAAATCCCCTTATTCAAGGTTATGGTACAAGCCGGATACATTATTCTCCATGCCAAAGGGATACATTATAATAGATTTCAGCTGTCCCCAATCTAGAAGTTCTCCTGAATCAATTGTTCTTACCTCCATTTTCATACGGCTGCTGATGGACTATCTAAATGAATATGGCAAGTATCAAAGACTAAGATATCATGTTTCTATATACATATACCTTTGTGCAAATATGCATGGACATTTTGACAGTTGAAATATTGATCATTTAAATTGCTGGATAATTCTGTCCCTAGTTATATTCTTTACTTTTAACTATTAGTTCATCTGATGGTGCACGTTTGGTGTCTGCTTAACTCTGCTGTAATCTACCTTGCATCTTTTCAGCCTACTATGCCGAGATTGCCGGTCTCGGTTATTGGATAAGTAGTCACTATAATGGTTTCCAGGTATTTATCTTGTATGCGCATTATCATCATGAATGGAATTCTCCAAACATTAAATACAA